CCTTTCTATGCGAGGAATTGACCATTTTGATACTGAAAATTCTGCGAGACAATTTGCCAAAACAGAGCATTAATCACTGTGTCTTTATCAGGTGACAGTGTGAAGAATATCCTATCTACCTGACAGAGTAATCATGGTAATACTAGTTGTTTATGTCCTGTTGTAAAAAGGTAATTCGACTACGATGGCCCAGTGACTGCTTTTCGTATGTTCTCAGTGGAACCAATAGCGACATCCGTACTTAAGGTTGTCTGACGTTTTCCCCGTTCCTTCTAATTTTGCTAAACCTGAATCTGTTTGGAATATTTTCTTCCAGAATCATTGTCTTCTCATGCACATTTTTTTTTAAAGTCCAGTTTAGTCCAACAGCAATAGTACTACCCCTGAGCAGGAGCTGTTGAAATGCAGATGGCCTTAAAGCTCTTTTTAACCGTTCCTAAGCACTTAGTTGTTTACAGTACATATGTACCAAAATATTATAGTTACATATTTACCAAGGTACTGTCTACAGTACCATTTACCGAACAGAATTAGATCTTTTTCTCTGATTGTGATCATGTGTTAATATTTCTCTAAATACGGTGCTCTAAAACCACCTTTTCCACATTCAGGAGAGCTTCTTACTTTTTATGTTGATCTCAAAATGTTATCCAGTTTAGCTTGTGTGTTGACATTGCCTTCTACCTTCATGGTTATCAGCAATCTATCCTTTTGACCCTTACCCTAAGTGGAGACCGACATTTTATTTCTCCTCTTTCCTTTCTCTAATCTGCCACCCCGATATCTGTCTTTTTCTCCCTTTTGCTGGTAACAAAAATTCCTTTTTTCTGAAATAGAGGCTGCAGAGGTAGTTACAGTGCAGAAGGAAAAAAAGGGGGCAGCTAAGGATAAGCCTTTGAGAGCTACGCGGAGAGGAAAAAGGAAGAACTGTCACAGGAGACACTAAATGAGTCAGGTGAGGGGAGAAGCCGTAAGAAGGCAGAATTGAAAGACCAGTGGAGGAAAGTTCCAAAAAGGGAGGCATAGTCAAAGGTGCCAAAATCACTAATACTTCAGAAGACCTGCTGTGCTGCGTCAGACAGCGTGTATCTCCTCATTGTGCGTGCATTGTTAGGATTGTGTATTATTTTGCGTTTATCAACACTGAATTTCTACCTGCCGTTCTGTTACCCAGTCAACCACAGACTCGTTATTCCCTTAACGTTTATTACTCATGGCGGCAGTGTGTCGGGCTTGCATCCCTGCAAAGAAGGGGGGAAAAAAAGGTTTGTTTTTAGCTTGGATACACTTTACTAGCTGACCTAGTGTAGTTGCAGCAGTACAGCTCAGGGGGAATGCTTATGGCTGGGGAGGAACCTGAAGAGGGTTAGAAAGACTAGGGTGGGAGATGATGCTGACAGGACAGAGGAGAGAATTAGGGGCAGTATGCAGGGAGAGGTATAGGAGGGAAATAGCAGATTGAATGTCTTACTGTTAATAGTGCTATGACAAACTCTTACTAATAGTAGTAACTAGGCTCAGTAGTTTAAGGCTAGCGTGGCACAGGATGCATGCAAGCTACCACAGTGTTATTGGAAACATCCACAGAGACCTTTGAACGCTCTGGCATTGAAAGAGAGGGAAAGATTCAAAGAGAGGAAGTAACTATATCCTAATTTTAATTGCAATTTATGGCTATTACAACACCTCTTAATTTTGCTCCCTATTTCCTGGAGTTGGATTTGGACCTGCTGCCTGTAGGGCGAAGTTTTTATCTTGTCCAAGAGCTAGAAAAGGCTAAATTTTCAAATGACCACTTCTGTCAGTTTAGGGCCAGATTCGGAAAGGAGACCCATTTCTAATCAGACACTGAAATGAGCAGCAGATTTCAAGCATTCAGGAATTTAGCAGCTACCACTCTGTTACAACAGCTACTGTCAGATTTTCAGAGGCGCTCAAGATATCGGACACCTTGGTAGCATTTCTAGGGCCAGGAAAGGAGCGTCAGAAATTAGTCCTTCTGCTGGTGCACTGAGAAGCTTTTAACCCTCTAGCTTTCCCTGTGCCTCTCTTTCACTGCATTGATGATCCTGCTATTTTTAAATATCCACTGTGCTAATGGGGCAAATAAGTACCCACATTTTTTCAAGCAGTTCTTTTGCATCAGAGCTCTCTGAATGCAAATCTGTAAAATCTGTGAATCTGCTGGTAGGCATACAGAGCAGTCAAACATCAAACAAAATGTGCACATTCATGTTCCCATCCTGGATGTAAATGAACCAGCTGAATGAACGCACCGGGGAGCAACCCAGAGTTGCCTCCGTGGTTTTTCTCGCTCGCTGCCCCGTTAGACACCCCTCGCGTTTCCCCGGCAGCCCCCTTAGCTTTCCCGGGGGCTGCGCGGTCTGTCGCCGGCCGCTGTGCCGCTGGCTTGGTTTGCTGGCGTTGCTGCAGAAAAAGCTGCCGCCCGTGATGGGAATGGGATCTTCCACTATTTAGCAGGCCTTTGCTGAATGAGTCATCAAAGCCGGCTGGTATTGGCTGGGCTGGTTAGCACCCAAGGGATTGCCTGGCAGAGGCTGCGAGGCCTCGCTTCATTCACAGAAATGTGGGGATGCTAGCCAGCCCTTTCATTCACACGCACAGAATCTCATTCACATTTTGCAGTTTCGCTAGCCGCTTCTAACGAAGAGAGCCGTTTGGGAGCGATAGGGTTTTCTGGGCAGTAGAGACAAGTAAAAATAAGCGATGGTGTGTATATTTGCGGTTGCTATGCTAGGAGGATGAAGAGAGGAATGAATGCTGTGTGGATGCTGTAGCAGGTTTGCAGTGTGGTGATGAAAGGCTATTCCGCAGATCACTAGAAACCTGCTTTTACACTGACTAGGACATTGCCATTATTCATCACTGCTGGGATAAGAGGTGCTGGCTTAATTTAATGTGTCATAAATATACTAACTAAATACCTGTATTTAAGCTGTTTTAGTGTATTTGCACTTTATATACTGCAGCCTTTAGTCATGGGAGAGGGAGGGAATACCACTGGATTTTTCCTTTAAATGTGCTGCAGTTAGTCATTTGTTTAAAAAAAAACAAAAAACTTTGCACTGTGCAACTTCTTTGATCTGAATTTGTTTACAATGCAGTGTATTGTCCTGCATCCAAAAGATATTTTGCAAGGAAGATCAATTTATAGAAAGGAGCCATATGGCTCTTGTGATGGGCATTGTATTTCACAATGCTATATACATTTTGTATTTTTCCGACAAAATGTAGGAGAAATGAAATACCCAGTTTGTTCATGTTTTGCTGCTCCTCAGATCGAGTGTTTGTGGCTGACATTTATGCTTAATAAGAGCTGGTGCATTTTTTATTTTTCCCTGCAGGACGTCAGTTTGCTACTACATGGACTTTTTAATATTCTCCTAGTATTTCTCAATTTTTCAGAATTAAACCAAATATTCCACTGAATTGAAGATCCATTTCACAGCTTTCTTTGGAGTGAGTATCAGTGGTGAAAGAAAATACATCTCTTAAGCCTGTTGTCGGACCTCAGAAAAATACTTTTCGTCACACATAGGTACTTTATGTAATTCTGCATGAGAAAAAGAAGGTTGCTGTGGAGTAACTGGGGAGAAGGATTTGTTTCTGTATCGAAAATTGGATGTAATAGTTTCCGTGAGAAACAGCATTGGCACAAAGGCACTTGTTAAGTCTGTTAGGCTGCTTTTGTGGAAGAAAATGTGCATATTCTTTAGTTCTGTCATCTGTTTTTAAAACACTTGTGTGCATTAAGGTGTTCTGAAAACCTTAAAGGTATCTATATTTTGCTGAGGGGGGAGTGGGAGGGGAAGAGGAATGTGTATGTGTAAATATTATCCAGATATTTGATATCTAATTGTGTCTCCTTCATAAATTCACAAATATGTGAGGTGGAAGAACGTTTAAACAGAAGAATAGAGTGTGGTGTTTTTTAAAGGATATTAATTCAGTTTTAGAGGTAATTGCCTTTGGTACCAAAAGAGGGGGGAAAAAATGAAAGGTTGGAAGGAAATATCTGTTTGAGAAGATAGGAAAAGGAAATTTGAGAATTGATTGGTGCTAGTGTGCTGTAAGTGGGTGGATGGTTTTTTTTTTCCTTCTTTTTTTTTTTTTTGCTACAGGAAGTGATTTGCAGTGTTCACTGAGCCTTTTGTTGAAAAGGGTCCTTCTCATTTGTGTGAGTCATGCTTTTGCTGTGAGCGAGTTGGCAGCTCTAAGCAGGACTGGGATCTCTGTCATAGAAAACTGTTACTTCACCCAACCTTAACGTGGAACCATAAGAAATTTCTTAAAAATATATGTATTTTTGTTCTTCCTTGTAACTCTTTGCTTTTTTACCCTAAAATCTCGTTGTCCGTCCGTGTTGTTATGAATCGCCTGCTATGTTAGCGCAGGCATCTCCTGCGTTGGCATCAGATTTGCCAGAACATATGCAGGAAACCAGATAGAAGGGCATGCTTCAACGTACCAAGTATAACCGCTTCAGGAATGATTCGGTGACATCAGTTGATGATCTTATTCACAATTTGTCCATGAACAGCAAGGTTTCAGCAGTTGCTACGACTTCAACAGCACCTTCCTACCTGGTCTCGCCAGAGGTTCTCCGCAAGGACCAAGAAGATGGACCCACCACCCTGTGCACCCTCATCCATAAAGTGTCCCACTTGAAACTCTCTAACACAGGCAGCCTTTTGGGTATCAAAAACCTCTCCTCTGCAGTAAAGGAGCTTGCTGTCTCCAAGTTGCAGGGAAGCTCGAGTGCTTCTAGCTCGGCAGCAGGGGCTTCAGACAACACATGTAACCTTGTCTCTGCCACTTCGTGTTCTCAGCAGGACGTGAGCAAGATGAGTATGGGGAAAAAAACACGGTCAGAGGAAATGCACCCGGGAGGTGAAGACTGGAATCAAAGTAGCAGCTTTGTCAATAAACCCTCTCGAGGATGGCTGCACTCGAGTGAGAAGATCCTGGGACCTGGTGTGACGTACATTGTGAAGGTTGGTCTGATTTCTTCCATTCTCTGTTTTTATCAATGAAAAATTCTCCGCTGGTTTCGGTGACAGGCTAGGCAGGCTGAAAGGATCTCTATTTGTATGCTCCTTTTTCTGTGCATAATGCATGGTATGTAAATGCAGAAAGGCAGGGTTGGAAAGCAGTGTTAATTTGTTATATTAGAGCAAACCTGCAAACAGGCTATTGGGCAGATAATGTTTTACAGCTATGTAAAAATACTATTTTTAAGCTAAAAGCTGGTTTCCTTACTTGTTGTTTTTTTTTTCCTTCTTCTAAATTTAGGTTTTCAGTGTTATCTGGTATACTGTGTATATCTCAGATACATAGGTTTTCAATATGTCTGGTGCAATCTACAGGAGGAAAAAAAGACACCTTGGTGTGTGAAGACCTGTTTATCATGCACGATATTTCAGTTTGAAAATATCTTTAAAGACATGGGTGTTTTTAAAGTGAATTTATATTTGAAATCTTACAGCAGTAAGGCACAGAGCGCAATTCTTATCTTGTTCCACAAATAGAAATACTGTTGTGGGTAGAGCAGGAAAATGCAGCTTGTTTTACATAACAGGGATTCAGCCACCTTAAATGTTATTGCTCTTTTCAGTTCACTGCATGTCAAGAGTAGCAAATCTAAAGTTTCCAGGGTAATATTTCTGCATGCATTTTGAAAGTGTTTTGAAATGAACTGTAAAATTCAAGCCTCTGAGAACAGGGTATGTGCAGTGTTTTTGTAGTCAGGTAAGATTCTGGTTACACCTTCCAGCCTAGTGTGCAGTAAGTGTAAAAATAACATTATCGTCCAGAATTCATTCTTAAGTCACCATGTTTTATTTGCCTGGTGGCTCCTGTATCTTAAGTGTCAAACTGTTTTGTAGCAGACGATGAACAAGATTTTAGATCTATTCTTCTTCTCGTCCTATTTTGGGGATAAAAGTCGCAGCATGAAGTTTATATCAGGATGCCTTAAACTGGGTGACAGCCTTGTTGCTTAACTCTCCCGAATTTCTCTCAAGTCTCCTTATGAGAAACCGAGTGCATATTTAACAGTTGGTGCACTAGGCAGGAAGCAGTTTTCATTTCTTTCTGTTAGTGGTGATGGTAGATTTTGCAAGTGGTGGCAGATTGAGTAAGTCGGACAGTTCGAAGCGCTACTCAAAAGGTACTATCTTTTTACTAGCTGGAAATTTGCTGGAACTACAGCAGAGAGTCAGCACTGCCCTTCAGAGCACAAACTGCTGCTCTGTAGCGGCTCGAGGAGTGTCTTGATGAAAAAAAATGACCCACTGATGCTAGATACAGTGGTTCTGAGACAGTCGTTCTTTTGCACGGCGATATTCTGGTTAACAGAAGGTCATTTACCATTCTCTCATTAGCTCAGGAAATTCAGCTCTTTTTATTTTGTGTTTTGCTTAGGACGTTGTAAGCAGGCAGATAATGACTGTGAGAATTCACTGCTGCTGTTTGTTTTACCTGAAGTGATACTTATGAAGCAGAGCAAGCACAGTACTCATTTTCTTGAGTTAATTTTTCACTGGTTGGCCCTCTGTATGCTGGAGCAAGCCAAAATGTGTGAGTGGAGAAGAGAAAGCTAAATACAAGTGGACTTATATTTAAAGTTAATAATTAACCCCTTAGTGCAGCTGGTGTCCATTTTGAAACCATATTTGTAGGTAATATTATGTTAGACTTTTTAAAATGAATCGTTAGCGTTATACAACTTACACTTTAGGGTTTTTTTCATGTCGTTGGAATTCATGGAAACTTGCTGTTTGTCATTTCTATTCAAAATAGGGTGATATCTTCAACATACTGGTCTCTGGCCTGTTGAGTCACAAACCTGTGCTGCAAATGTCAAAACAAAGGTTAAAAAGCAATATCAAAATCAATGGCTAATGTATGAATGAAAATAAACCAATCCCCTTTAGTTCATAATTTGCCTGTTCATTAAGTATCTCAGAATTTTCCTCAGCAACGCCAGCGTTCACGTAGATAAGAATAGAAGTGCAGTTCCCACATCATTAAACATTGTTCGTTCCAGGGCTTTTATGCATTCAGACCATCAAATCGATACATAGATAATGTACACTGAAGGGAAACATTCCTTAGATACCTCATGGCTATATTGACTATCTGGGGGACTTGTACCATATTTAATTAGTACCATATGCCTTGCAGAGCATTCCATATGCCATTAGTTAAATGACACCAAAATTAGATTTGTTGTTAACCAGCAAAGCTTTTCTCATTTTGCGTGTAAATGTGCACTGGGTTACTATTTTCTCATTAGTTCCCATTCAAAACATGAAAATGATTTGTGGGGCAGGGTAAACTGTCACTCCTGGGCAGTTTGGTATAATTGATAGTGGAATCTCTTGAAGTAAAAGCATCAAGGTTCTTACAGGCAATATATGACAAGTACGTAATGTATTTATGACACTCTT